GGCGGGGCACTGAATTCCTTACTGGGAAAGAGGCCCAGCTGGAGAACTCCAAAGTTGTGAACCATCGAATTGCGGGGCCAACTTTGAGCTCCACAGAACCCTCTGAAGGCATCGTTAATATTCTGCACCGCCAGCAGTCACATGCCGTAACTCCTCTAACCAGGGATTTCCTTTTCCGTGAACTCGGGATGTAGGTTTGGGGCATAAAGTCGAGCATGCCTCTTCGGAGCTGCATGTTTCAGTCCGCTCCACCCCACGACCAGGTTTCCATCGTTAGAACAGTGCAACAGTGCAAATTTGTTTCCAAGTCGGAACCCACGCAATTGCCGCTGGCATCAATCTCCAGCATGTTGCCGCAAAAGGTACGCCATCCCATGCAATGCCCCGGGAGTGCTCCAAATCGTTTGCTCGACAGATGATGTGACTACCATTCCAATTGATATGGCGGCTCGGTTTCAATTCAACGATTTCTTGTCCTGGCAGTTGCTTCTGCAAAATTGAATGCATCCGTGCATTAACATGAACAGAGCAGTTCGCGAGCGGCCCAATGCAAGGAGAACCCGAATCTCCAGGACAAGTGGGAAGGTGGAGTCGAGGCGGACGGGGACATGCACCTTGGCTTTGCCGTGCCCTGTATGCCTCAGCAACAACGCGGGTCGGTGTGAACCAGTGCATCTGTTCTGCCTTTCCCCAGGTACTGCATGCCCCAAAATGCCAAGAAGGTTCTCCGGATTGCTCCAATGCGCTAGCTGCTAGTCGGACTCGACGTGACCCAAGACTGACTCATGAGAAAGCCTGGCATGGAGACCGACAACGCAGTTGCAATATGTTGCAATCACGAGGGCTGCAGACTTCCTGGGCCCTCGGAGCGTGGAGCCATGATCACCAACGACGAGACGGCCATGAATGACGGCATCTGTCGCACGCGCTAGCGTACAAGATGCGGCCGAAGACGAGCTCGTGCAACTTACTGGACCGTGCGAGAAAGCAGGGGACATCGTTTGCCCACTCATTCCTGCAAGCAGACTGCAGACTTGTCTTACGCAGCTTGACAAGGTCCTTCTTGAAAATCGTAGCGACGAGAAGCGAATTCTGGTATCTGTCCGGGCCTTAGATGCAGCTGTATAGTGTGGAGTGCGAATTGGGGCGCCACAACCACTTGCGGAATTCCCCCAGCCTTCCATGCATGGCTCACGTACCTCACAGTGGTCATGTTTTCATGCTTTCAGAGCTGCCGAGCAGCTAGCATCTAACAAGTTTTTCTTCGTCCACTCATCCACCCACCCACACGTAGCATGCGTGTACACACTCATATGTCCCTGTGTCACCGCATGAACAGAGCTTATGCGAATGCAAGTCCATTCCTTCTGCTTAAAAGACCCAATGAAGCGACCATGTTCGAGGCCCTGGCTGAGCCCATCCGGCCGGCGGCTATCATCTCAGAGGGTTTATATAGTAGAGACTGCGTGCTTGGCAGTATCGAGATTCGGCTCCCATGTTTTTTGGGGCTTCACTTCGTCGGACCTTTGCCGACTCGACAGCACAGACTCCGACTCCGCTTGCCTTGAGGCGGGCCCGGCAACTGACGGCTTCCTCCCTACTGCGCCGGTCTTGCGGCGTGGGGAGCAGGTATCCTGCTCAAAAAAACGAGTGTGAAATAGGCTTGGCTTGCAAGTGCCGTGCGGTAAATCTTCCAAGACTCTAGTTTCCTGTCAAGTCTCGGAGCGCTTCTGTGTGCACCAGCCGGGCGGCGCATGGTCAGGGAAGCTTGGACATGCTTCATGAGACTGACAAGGTAAGATATCAGAAAACTGTATTGCTGAAGTTAAGTGGGTGTGAAGCAGCCTTGCGCGGCCAACTTCCGCGCAGAGACTTTAAAGATGTGCCTCTGAGTTTCATGGACATTTGTGGATCGGCAGTCCGGCATGACATCAGTCACTTTAATTTGGACTGCCACATGGACCTTAAATGAGCAAGATGACCGATCTGTATGCCCACTGTACATGTCAAGAGTTGGGTGAAGAGATACTGCAGGCACGAACTATAAGTTGATTTTGGAGCAGGTCAAAGATGTGTTGCAAGCTTGGCAGCTGGCCCCGACACCTTTCAATGATTGATGAAGTCATTCCTCCCTTATAGTATCATAGTGCCGCAGCTTTGGTAAAACTCTCGCGCAGTCTCAAGGCCTGGGTCGCCAATCTGGCAGAGGGCTCTCGTGCTTCGCCCAGCTGGCGCACACGGATGGTCCCACTTTCAATTCTTTCAACTCATTCATGTTTCCGTGGTTGGCATGATTTCCAGGAAGGTTTGGCATGATTCCACAAGGAGTGCAAGTGTAGGGGACTGTTCATCATTGAACGAGTTGCTCACACATTTCATTGTGGTCGTTCGCCTGCAACCCTTCCGTCGTTCGACAGCAAACCTTGCATGGAGATCTGCAACTTGGTGACCTGGAAAACACATGTCGAGCTCATTGTCATAGCCTGTTTGGCCGGATATACAAGCTCCTACGCGTAGCACCCCGTAGCACAAGCGCTACGTCTACGTCCCTAATCTTTGTGCCCCTACTTTGGCTAGTGATGTTGCATCTTCAACTTGGAACTTGACAACTGGGAGGTTAGCAGCACGGGTGCATGGCTTGGCTCTTCGTATGCCTGCTAGCTGCTACAGTAGCGGCGTTGTGAGGTCACTACTCGTATCCGGTGCACCTGTCTGGCACCTTCGCCTTTGCTCCGACACAAGCTGCCGGTTTGTACCTTCTGCCGTGGGCTTGGGCTGCACACATCCATGCGTCGGTTTCGCATGTGAAGAAGTCATTCTTTGCCAGTGAACCAAACCTTTATAACAACAACAACAGCAACAACAACAACAACAACATCTCCCTAGAGGAGTGCTCGGCGACAGGCATTTGTTTGTCTGTCTGATTCATGAACATCTGCAAGGTATCAGATGCACAGCATTTCTCAGGCTCTGCCGCTTCTTCACCTGGCACTTCGCAGAGGCCAGGCAGGCATCAAGCACGTTACCGAGTAAGCTCACAGTGGGGTGCCAAAGCATTGGTCGGTGAAGCCGTGGACTGCTTGTGGGAGAAAACTCAGTCGGAAAAGCGATTTCGTCTAGCGTGCCTCATTGGCCCCCTCGCTTAGCGGCTCGTCCTCCCGGCTGCTTCTGAACCGATCCCATGTGCACTTGATTTCGAGAAAGAAGCGTAGTTTGTACTCCGTTACTCCATGACTTTATGCCATCGCCAACATGCATATACTTCTTGTGATGGCGTCAGCTAGCAATGATCATCCTAGCCTTGAGAAGGTGTGTAGTGTGTAGGCTGTAAATATGTACAGAATGGGCGTGTGCTCTGTCAGAATACATAGGCTGGAGGGCCGGCAACACCGAGTAGTTGTATCTGTTTTCGGACTTCTCCAGGTCTCCGAGGCAGCGTGTACCGTCTCCGAGATTTGCAGCAGCGAGGAGCTGTTGATGGTGACGGTTTTTCGCCTCGGTTGTGCAGCCCATCCGGCAGGAGTGGCAGCTTTGGGAACGCCTGTGCCTCGTTGCATCCGTAGCGGCCTCGGCATGCGCAGGAACGTAGGCCGTACATGGAGCCATCTTCATTAAATCAAGGCCTTTGTCAGAAAGTTCTCGTGAGAGCGGAGCACCCGGAAGGCTTCCTTTCACGCCGATGGTGCTGCCAGCTGCTTGCGCCTGGCTCTGGCCACGGCACCCTATGGCACCTTGACTCTGTGGTCCTTGTTATAGACGCACGCCATGTCGAGGTGAAAAGATTCGAAAGGCTCCTGGAATCGGATTTTCTTTGTGCAAAAGCACATTCGCATTCGCAGGCCTCCTCGAGCCACAGATTTCACCCCTTCGCAACCAGGCTAAGACGTTGCCTCACAGGCACTGTCGTGGTGGCCTCCGTCCCATGAGAGCAAGACAGCAAGAGAGCCGTCACGTTGGGAAGTGTTGCAATCTGCTTAAGTTTCAACTCTCGATCATGAGCGAGGGCACCAGCACTTGCGAGGCACTGCACCTTCTGCTGCATCGCAGGGATCTCGCCGTGCCCTCATTTCAGCAGTTTTCCCATGCTTCTTGATTCTAGTCCCTCACTGTTTTGACAGTCAGCTGCTGCATTGCTGCAGAGAGCCGGTAAGTCATTGCAGTACCACTGTTTGGGCAATCAAAGCAAGCGGAGGTGTCGTCAATTAAACCGCACAGGCCAATCGCTAATCTGCCAGCTGTAGGTTGGGACGTGGGCCATGCCCTGCTCGAATATGCCTGCGCTTCAGTTCTGCACTGCTTGGCAAACAGTCAAGTTGCTGAGTTCAGCTGCTGCTTCAGTTCGGATTGCGGGAATGAATCGCTTTAGATCGAAGCTAGGAGTTTCGCGAGTCCAGGTGAGGAAGAGACGCCTGGTTTCTGCAAGCTGCCGCCTCTCTCCTCGGGAGGAGAGCGCCTTGCATTTCTGTCGATGGAAGAGTGAACATCAGGCAGAGATGTGCTTACACTTGAGATGCCTTTGGCTGGGCATCACATAGCAACAGTTTAGCAGTTTCGTGTTGGTAAGCATTCGCCCGCCAGGAGCTGGACTTATTGGCAGAGCGTGGTTCCCAAAGCCAGGCTGCGTGTGCACCCTGCGGATGCTTGCCACTTCCCAATTGAGAGAGTTGTGTGAGCCCTGAAGAGTCCAGCACAGGGTGCTCACTGTGCAGTGGGCGAGCTTGCGGGGCGAAGGGCAGCGCTGCAGGCCGGCTGTTTATGCATCCTCCAGTCTCAAACTGACTCGTGTCATGGATTTCAGCGCCTTTTCTCTGCCTTGTGCGGCAAGCTGCCGATGCTTTTGCACCATATGCACAATGTTCGAGACTCGAGACCCGCAGGCTCTGGTGGCCGGTGGACAAAGCAGGCGGATTGCAAGGGACTTCCATCGGCGTAGAACACAATGTGAATGGTTTCGGTCAGACTCGGAAATCGTCGTGTGCTGTGACGATTGGTAGGAGAGCAGGCAGCTGTAGATGTTGTGGTAGGAAACCGGATGATTCCCTCTTGCATCTGGGAAACTGAGCCCTAGGCCCTAGACTTCCCTTCTCCCCCCCGAGCAGAACATACGGCTCCTTACAATCCACAGGGAATCCTATTGACGGCACGCAGCTACACTTTGGTACAGCAGAACCTGCCTCAGGAGACGCAGAAACAGGAATGTTGATCCCGAATTGGTTGAGACCTCCCCCTACATTGTCCGAGTTGTGAGAGTGTAAATGGTTGAGGCACCTTCTACACGCGGGCAGGTTGGAGTTGCCCCTGAGCCTGGGTTCGGTCGCCACTGACGATGGCTTCGACCGCGTCGGCCACCCAAAAGAGTAATGAACTCGTTGTGACAAAGGTTCTTGCTTGGCGGGCCTGCTGCAGAGAAGTACTTGCATGACGTATTGTCGATGGCTTGAACTTGTATAATGAAAAGTTTGAGGGAGTACGAGATGAGTAAACGCATATACAGTAATTGGTGGCGTTTTGCGGCCGCACAGGAAGACATGCAGAATGCAACTAATCTATGGAGCAGTCTAGGGCTAGGCTTTCAATTTAGGCTTCGCATAGGCTGATGTTGGTACCATATGATTCACGAGCTACCGGCTGCCATTACAGTATCGTTTTGTACGGAGACCATGCGCACCTCATGGTCACAGGTGGTCGACAAGACATTTACGGAAGAGGTTGGGATTTTCGAGCGGATCTCTTCCACTCTGCGTCCTTCCCTTGGACTCTGCATGGCATAGCCGATTCATTTTGCGAGCTGGCGCAACGTCTTTTGTGGTGTCGCCGCGGCCATTCGTTGCTACTTGTGTGATTCCTGCACGTTGAATAGTCGTACTATCTTGCTTACCTTCGGTGCAACCGCCCGGTAGAGGTCGGACTGCATCTGCAAACTGTGGCGCAAGTCGTCAGAGGTGCTCTACTGTCACCCGCACTTAACCGGACACCCCAGGCTTTAGAAACCGGATTCCTTCTTGTGCTGTTCCGCCCAGCTTAGGCGACGTGACCTACAACCGGCCAGAGGTTTCACACCAGACAGGAGCGGAGGCAGGTATCACTGCGGTAGCACATGTACCAAGTCTTGCTGCAACGGGCGTGTGGGTCAATGTGTTTTTGTCCGAGCTACTTGGAGAAAACAAGCTGCTTCAGGGAGTAGAGCTAGACATGGAAGCCGCGCTTCGATTGTAACTTCTAAATGAATCAAACTTGGAGAGTGTCGTTTCTGCACAGATCCCCGGTAACCCCTGTCGACAAAACAGATGTGTGCGCCCACACACACACACAAACTGTACAACATAACAAAGCTCAGGCCATTGCTTTCATCGACAACCTCTTCTCCCTGTTTGGCAGCGTGCTTAGGATGCCGGTCCGATGGCCTGTCCAACTCCCTTCAGGTTTGGATATGCTCATTCATGTCTTAGAGGCAACAAACTACAGCGAGAATGGTTTACATTAGGGTCATTTGGCCAAGAAACCCCAACCCGTTGCTCAGGTCAACAGGCGTCCTTTGTTATGACTTCAGGTCGCTATGGAGAGTTTCTTTGGCAGCCTTTCGGCGATTTGTGGAGTTACAGGAGCGCACTGACAGCGAGCAGTGCCCCCTATGTGGCAGATCTTGCTGTCCAGCTCGTCTTGGCATCAATTGCAGACGGAAGCTATGACGGATCTGGCTGCATCTGGCAGCGAGAGTATGAGACAGTGAGAAATTTGAAGTTGGGGACCTGGCGCCGAACGAGTGAAAGTCATCGTTAGAGCGACATTGCGCCCATCACCGTCATCAGCACGGTCGTGCATGGGTCCTCTGCCAAGGCGACACTCATGTCTCCTGACCTACCACCGGCAATGGTCATCAGGGTCCGAAAACTGAGCCGAAGGGCAAGGATTTCTCTCTCTCTCTCTCTCTCTCTCTCTCTCCCTCGCTGTCAAAAAACACAGATATATACAAACCACCTAAGCAACTTAACAGCATGAGTGTGTCTGTATGTATACAGAGACAGAAAGACAACCAGCCAGCCAGACAGACAGACAGAGACGCAGACGCACACAGACGCAGACAGACAGACAGACACTTCCATCCATCCATCCATCCATCCATCCATCCATCCATCCATCCATCCATCCATCCATCCATCCATCCATCCATCCATCCGTGCAAGCATGCATGCATGCATACGTACATACACACATTATACGTACAAGACATACAATACATGCACACGTAACTGTTTGTATATACATGCATGTACCAGTTTCCAGCTGGTTCGAGACGGTGGAGTGGCAGTTGAAGTTTCTTGTTTGAGTGGTGAGTGGGCCGCGAAAGTGAAGGCAGAGGTGTGTGCCTGGCATATGTCGGCATTGCCTCCTGCTTGAGGGGCGACTTGCTGTTTCGTTTTCGTCGGGGGCCTGAAGGGCTGAGCCTCACGCGTTGCCTGGCGCTGCTAGACCCTCTGGAGGCAACGTCAGAGAGATAGAGAGAGAGAGAGAGAGACACATGCATGTACATATACATATATGTATATATATATATATAATATATATATATATATGTAATTATATACATACATATATGGATGTATACAGAATTATAGATATGCATATATGTAGACAGGTATGTATGTATGAATGTCTGTATGCATATACTGTTAAGGTAATGTAATGTAATTATGTATGTACGCATGTATGTATGTATATACATGTGCGTGTACATATGCATGTTTTGACCATATGATGCGCGCGGCTGCTTGCTATTACACAGGATTAGGGGACATTACGCAGGATCGGGGCATATTGAATTCAATAGTATTCTATTCCCACTATTCTACTCTCTTCTATTCTATCGTAATATACTACATTTTGTCGAGTTCACCTAACTGTCTTAACATAGCTTCTTTTGTATTTTCTGAAAACACAGCATAGAAAAGTATCGTATAGTACAGTAGGGTATAATATATGATGTGATACTAGTTGTTATAGAAAATGAAAGTATACCATACTATGTTATTGTTCTTATCTTATATCATATTATATTATGGTAAATTTGTTCGCTTTGCCGGCGTGCTTGCCTTCTATCCATGTGCTGCATCCCTGGCCAGGAGACGAGAGTCGTGTCGGCACATCTTGAAGTTGCTTATTGAGGTCTGAGTGGCTCACGGTGCCACTCACTCTCACATACCATATCACATTATCCTGTAAAAACTCACGTTGTTCTATGTTGTATCATGGTATATAATATTGTGTTCTGTCATAATATATTGTTTACTCTACTAGACTATATCGTATAATGTCTCAGCACTATATTGCATTATGTTTCATTATGTTCTACTCTATTGTACTATACTATAAAGTACGATGCTGTGCTGTATTGCACTATACTGTATTATGTACTATACAATATACTGTATACTATATACTATGTACTATATACTATACCATACCACACTAAACCATGCTAACTATACTATACGATGTTAAACTATATTATACTATAGCATATACTACACTATACTTTCTTGTTTTGTACTTTGCTATATAAGGCTAGGTTAGACTATATTGCATGATATTATACTACATTTGGACAGACTGACACACGCAAAGACGACACTGATTACGAGGCCCTTCGGCGAGCGCTCCTTTTCCGCTGCTGTACGAGCTGTTCACCTCCACTATGTCACTGCAGGCACGTCTCGGCAGGAAACTGTGAACCCAGCAGGCTCAGGAAGGTGGCTTCTGTTTCCTTCTTGCGAAGGCGTTCTCATGCCCCTCCTGTGTCCTCATCTTTCGCTGATTCACTGGTGCCCTCGAACATTTCGCCATATGGCCATTGCAGTGCAGAGAAGCGGACTCAGTGTCATGGTGTCCAGAGTTTTCGAGGGTGTGTGTGCTGCCAGTGCTTTCCTTAAGAAGTTGATGCGTGGCCTGACTGCTGCACAGAAAGGCAGGTCAGGCCCGGGACCATTGGCCTGAGGAAAATGCTTCCGCAACCCTCAAAGAGAATGTTCATGGATCCAGAAACGTTAAAGCAACATGGTGAATGGGACGAGGACATGCAGGAGTCGAGGAGTGGTGCCATCGAGATGCCACGGTCGGAGGTTTACTCCTTATTGTTTTTGCGTGAGCAAAGCTATTTTGTGTGAGGGTCGCAGCATGCTGCGGGTAGGAGAGGCCGGCTTTTGCCGTTGGGTTTTAAGCTTGCGATCCGCAAGGTATGCAACACACAGCAGTATGTCTCGATTTGGTTGGTGCGTATGAAACTTTCGGAAGGTGGTGCCGGGAGACGATTTCCTCACGGTGGCTTCAATCTTGCCTGACTCCTGGCCGTTCACTGCAGATCCAGGAGTCTCAAGTGGAGTCTCACTCCTTGCGGAAAGATGAGCCAGCAAGGAATCCGCCTAAAGATGCCTATACAGTCCCGAGCTGTGCAGCCAGAACAACACAGCTAGGCCCAAAAGGGCGCAGGAAAGCCGAAGGTACGTTTCCGAAGTCCTGCTAAGGCTCCGCCTGTGCTGCAGAGACGGTTCCAAGAGCGCTGGCGTCTCTGCAGTGGGCCAAGTTGGGCCTTGCAAGCTTTCTTCCGGTGTGTTCGGAGCTTCGGTTCAGCGCAGGCTTCTTTGGTGTTGGAGTAGAGGACTTGGATGCTCGGCGGCGACTTCAAAGGGTCGACTTGGCTGGCTTGCAGCGTTGTAGCACACGGAGCGCGGAAAGATGGGTTTGGCGATCGGACACCTGGCTCGTCTGAAAATCCTCGTTTTGGTGGTGCTCGAACCGGATACGAAATCGCAAAACTGCGGGAACTGAAGACGAAAGCGCAGGTGCCCAGCTTGTGACCTCGAGCATTTGTGCATCATGTACTTAGAACTCGCCCTGCGAACGAAGAGCTACATTATTAAACCATCATGAGAGCTGTTCGGTTGATGATCCAGTTCAAGACTGACCGACGACCTTCCACAACGTGGCTCACTGAGTATTAGGACGATCTGAGCGTTGCAAATTGTGGTAAGTGATGATTTTGCCACAGCAGTCTTCCAAGACTGAGCCTGCCTGACTGAACTACGTGGTGGGAAGTTTATCGGTGGCAGCCTGATCAGCAGGCATCGTCTTTTCGTAATTGCTTCATGAAGTTGCGCACGGGCTAGCATGAGGTCCAGGATAAACAATGCTACTAACTGCCTTAGCTTTGGCCCGTGCCTGACTAGATGCAGTAGATCTCTTGGCCGCTTAGAAAGCGAAGCCGCTCCAGGTTCTCCGCACGATCGAGCTGAATCCACAGGCTTGCGATTGCTCTCTTGGCGGGTTTCAGGTCAAGGTTTGGTGGAGAGGGCTTTATGGGATCCGCGAAGAGCAGCTTCGGAAGTGCAAATCGATCGACTTCCACATGGACAATGCATGAGAGGCGGTTGTGTTCAGCTAGGCTTACTTTAACCCAGTGTCAGCTTAGCATTGATTACCAATCGAGTAGGAAGACTTGAGCTGCACGTGTGACCGCAGGTTTGCTCCCTGCTCCCCCGGTGTGAGCCCCGATGGGCTTTCTTGCTTTCTAAGGGCGTTGCGCTCCATTACCATTCTCCTAATCATTCGCTCAGCGATGCAGGAGGCAAACAAAAAAACATATCGGAGGTGCCAGAAGGCTTATATTATAGGCAATCGGCTTTTCCAGAGTCAGAGTGGAGGGCTCGTCATTGCCTATTGGACATCACCGGCTTCTCTTCGGCTTGAACGGCTTGGCATGATATTCCTGCAAGGTTGTGCTGTTTTGGAGAACGTCTTCTAGTACGCTATGTTTGTGAAGTTGTGAAGGAGCTTTTGCATGCAGACCTGGCCGTTTGGCGAATGCCAGGTAGCACAGGCAAGATCGGCTTAGCGGTGATGGCTGGATTCGTTGATCCATCTGTGCGTGTCTGGGTATATATGTGCTTATGTACGCATACATGCAGTAATAAAGGTGCTTATAGCGTCAGTGGCATCAGTAGTAGTGGGAGGAGCGGTGGTAGTATAGCGGGGACAACGGTAACCACAATAGCAATGGCAGTTGTCATTTTCAGTTTCGAAATGCCTAACACCGGGTGAGCCACGTTGCTTGTGAAAGGCAGACTCTCTTTGGGATTCGGGCCTCAATGGAATCTGCATGTGCTGACAGTTGCCACGCATGAGATTCCATGCTGTCCATGCTCTACGAACCCATCAAAATCTTCGTATCAATCCCATGGCCAGGCACAAAAGGTGGACTGGCAAACCGAATTGAGAGTTGCACAGGTGGGGATCCGCGGATCTTACGTGGAGCTTTGGCCTGGGAGGCTTCAAGTTCGACACACAGACGGGACCTCAGAGTGGCCTGTAGTAGCGGGATGCCGCCACTTGAGAACACGTGATGTGCTCGATCGGAAGCTTGGCCTTCGTTGGGGATAAGCAGAGGTCATTTGTTGGTCGAGTAAGTGACGGGATGACGCTTTCAAGGTCGACCTCGAAGTTGTTGGAAGCAGCTACGAAGAAGCTGAAGAGCATGGAGAGGCGGTGCGGTGTTTCGGGAATTTGCACAGCAAAATCAGCCGGGAGCAACTCACCACTGCAGAAACCTCGATATACTTGGAGCCAGCGGCCAGTCAACGAGCAGAGTACTTCATGTACAACTGCTCTCGTGCCACCCACTTCGTGGAGCATCCGGCTAGCCAAATAGCGACTTGTGTTTCGGCCCGCAGCTATGATAAACCGCCAAGCCTGTCAAAGCCAACCTTCTTACAGTGTGTGTGTAAGCTCGATCAGAAATTATAGAAAGCGTGCACTCGTCTGGCCTACTGTTTGCAGCTAGCATATCGATCCGCTCACATGCGCCATCGGCACCGTCTTCGCAGCTGATGGCTGACGGCAAGTCCGACATTCGTGGCCCGGCCGTGCATTTAGAGGGATTTTGTTCTGCCGTGCAGGTTCAGCAAGCTCGCACATGAGAGTCCATCTGAGGTGTGCTTTACATCTGCGGGCACCAAATCAGCAGTTGGGGAGTTCATGTAGTGACGTGCTGCAGGAAGGGTAGCCGGCATGGATTGATCACGCCAGTAGTGGAGGGTAATTACTGCAGCGGTGCTCTGATTGCAAGCATCTGCAAGCGCGTGCTGGGCTAAAGAAGAGTTGTTGGACTTGCACAGCCTCTCAGTCAGAGACTTGAAGACGAACTGTTGTTTGTCCCCACCTGTTTCGGCGGCCATTGTCACGCGATTCTGGAGATGCTAGCCCGAACAGGCATTTGTGGTGGGTGTGCGTTCTGTGTGTTTGACAAGTCGGCTTGGAACTACAGTGCAGCACAGCAGATAGATGGCTCCGGGGTGAGGCCATGAAACTTGACGTCGCCTGCTGCATCAGATTCGGTGCAACCGGCCTTGCTGAGCATCTATCGAAGCAGGACAGACTTCACAGCCAAGGTTGGGTAGCAATGTCACCGGCTGCTCGGCAATTGTGTTAATTGGAAGGCTGGAGGTTCGACAGGACCGCGGCATCTATGATCTAGGGAATCCACAAGAGTCTCAAGCTGGGATGCTCCATTACCTGCCGGGATATGCCTAGCAGACGGCGAAATGCTTCTGTACAGAGCGCTCCACGTCGTTCACCCGACCAAGATGTCACGCCACAAACCCCCCAGAGGTGCAAAGCCGTCCTACATGCGACAACATTTCCGGCACGTGACCATCCCGTCTGTCAAGCATGCCAGCTACTCTGCGACGAAGCTTATCGGCAGCGAGCGCATGCAGCGCTCATAGTTGGAGTTTCTCGCCGTGGCACCAATCCTGCCTGTCCTATCCTTCTTTGTTTGCATGCTGATACTCAGATTGGTCGTCAAACCATCAAACATCAGTTGACCGCTAATGCAGGGTCGCCCGAGATCTGTGAGCCTGACTGCTTTATGCGCAGAATTGTGCACATTCAACCCCTTAGCTTCATTGCACATCTGCAGAAGACCATCACCATAGCATTGTTTTGGCGAAGACCGCGAGTTCACACACAACATTTTGTGTCCCGTGTTTTGGATCTTGATGGCATCTGGTCTGTTGTTCGTAGTCGGTTTTATGTCAGCGAAGGAAAGAAGCGCTGGCCAAAGAATGCAACAGCTTCAAGCCGGCCCCTTGCCAGTGAGGGTATCCGTTGGGTTCAGTTTCCAGTACCTGCCGAGCTTGACCCAGTTGAAAGATCTCGGGATCCCGGACCGCAGAAGATTTCTCAGACTATGTGGGTGTGTGTGTGTAGCTGTGCATACACACACACATAGATACATACGCATGTGTATAACATACTATACAGACACTAACGCAAAATCTTCACACATACATACACACGTACATGCATATGCGATCGGCAGCAGCAGCGAGAGGAAGCAGTATCATGCGACCATCAGCCCAGATTGCGCAGCATACAGTGCAGAGCAGACCGGCAGAAGTCACCATCCAAGGATATTGTTGTTGCTCATTCGGCCGGCGTGGGGAAGGCGGCTTTCTGACACCCTTGATCATAGATCTTGTCCAGAAGTGTCGGAAATGGTATGCCCTGTTATGATCATGGTTGACCTTGACTGACGTGCTCTCTGTGCATATTGTGAAATGTCAGCAGTTTCGCGAAGACAGGGACATCTCAAAGCAGAGCCGGAAGCCTGCCTTTGAGAGTCATTGCCTGGTGACTCGGGGCTTTGCTGAAGACCCTCAAAGCACTATATCAGGCCTTGCCAAAGCTCTGCTGTGGGCCCGCTGATCAAATCTGCCTTTCATACTTGCACAATCAGTACACCAGTGCTGGTCTGCTCTGCTACGATGATTTACGAATGATTACATTGCCAACGAATGGTAGGGTCGTCCTAGCCAGGCGGAGGCAAACACCGTAAAAAGTCGTAAAAGACCAGAGCACGAGTTCCACACAACTTGCATTTGTTGCTGTGCCGTGCGCTGTCCTGTTCGTTCTGTGGATTCCATGGCTAACCCATGCTGTGAAGCCATACCAGTAAGCAACAGCGGAAGCTTAACATATGCAGCATGCACAACCCGGGTCTAGGCTCGTCGGCCTAAGCAGAGTGCAGGCTGTCACCCTAGCGACGACTGGGACCTTCCTTGGGCCTTTGGTGCTCTTGGCCGGCGGCAATGGCTGTGCGCCGGTCTCTGACATGACATGGGAGGGCCAGGGCGAACTTTGCCGTGAAAGTCTAGATTCAACCCATCACTGCATTCGAATCGTCCTGAACTGGAAGTGTTGGGAGAGGTTGGGAATCGTGAAGGAATTTCGTGCCTGTGAGGCAGTCAAGAATATGTCCATCATGAAATCTTGCTTGACCTCCGAAGCCACTGCATGTGATGCTGCGACGAGTCGCATTCGTGGGGCTGTATTCGGGGTCCAGGCCGCTCGCGCGAGTTCGAATTAAGCGGTCAACGAAGTTGGGAAGTGTTCACATGGCGAAGAAACCTGAGTTCAAGCTCCGGGCCGTGCGAGGACTGGGCGAGCAGTCACACTGGTTGTGCCAAGCGCTGATCCAGTCTGGACCCCGGAGAGAAGCATGAGTGTACAAGGCTGCACGTAAAGGTGCCTCCGAAATCCCAGCCGGCAGCCCTCGGGGCCCCGAAGTCAGTGGCTATTGCTTCAAGGGCATAGTGTGGGAGCGTTTATTGTGCATGGGAGTGTATGGATTTGCTTCTGGGGTCAGTGTTCCGCTGGACCTCGCTTCGCACAAGGATGCAGCTGCGCAGAAGCGGGCCTTGCGATCGGCGCTGGACAGCTGGGTCATGCTGGGTCGTCTCAAGCTCGGTTGGAAAGGAAGCTTACTAACATGGAAAGCCGTTTTTTTTAGAACGGACAGCAACACAGCATGGCTGGGAGTTCCAGCGCCCCATGGTTGCAGGACACGTCTATGGTTTGCGGCGTGGACGTCGAGGACAAGCACGACCTCAACAAATCCATGGTGGAGTACCTTGGGATCGCACTACGAACGTTGCCTTGGATTCACTTGCAGAGAGGACCAAGCAGAAATGCTGCGCCACAAGGCTAGGAGACGGATCCAGGTGCTCACCATGGCACGCTGACACATGCCGATATACTAAAGTCACTAAAGAACAGAAACAAGAGCCATACATTGTGCCGAACGCAGATCCGAGTCCAAACTAGTTTAGCCGGCAACCGGAACGGTCCTTAAGTGATCGGAGCCTCGCATGTGAGTGTGAGATTGCGGGCGAGGCAAGCGATGCTTCGTAAAATCATCGAGGATACGTACAAGCGTCACACGGGAGCTGCCTTGGCCCCGGCCGTCGCCGTCGACTCTGCTGCCAAGGTGGAGACTCCTGTGAAAGAACAGGTGAAATGGATCTTTTCGGAGTGGGATCTGAACGATGACGGTCTGGTCACCGGCGCGGAGTTCAAAGAAAGCCTCGCAACGCTGTGCGATCAGATGTCGCCCGAGGATGTGGAGACCGTGGTTCAAATCGTGGATAAGAACAAGGACGGCCAGGTGGATGTCGATGAGTTTCTGGAATGGGTCTTCTCGGGTGCTGAGCATACGGACAAGGTCCTCGCCGAGACGGCGGCGCCTTCTCCACCCGAGCCGTCTACAGCACAGGACTCGCAGGACGGGCACGCCGAAGCCACCGAAGTGGTAGAAGCAGAGCCACCACACGAGCCAGATTCCCTGGAGCCGCCAGCTGCCCCGTCCGCAGAGCCAGAGCCGGCAGAAGCTTCGGCCGAGACGCCAGAGGCGCCGGCGGAGCCCAGCTCCAGGGAACCCGCACCACTTGAGGTGGGTGCAGAAGCAGAAGATGCTGCCGATCTGCCAGCTGCACCTCTTTCTGCAGTCTCGTGTCGAGGCTGCACAGCGGCCGTAGTGGATTTACACGCAAAACTTAACCAGAATTTGCCTAGTAATTCTGGTCGCAAGCTGATCTGGTTCCGAACGGTCCCTAAAGGGGCAGATACATTGACAGATATGATTTGACCTAATGTATTCTACAGATAGATGATGGGCAGATAGGCAGTCAGACAGTGCTTGAAGTCTAGAGAGTGCATCTTCTGCGAATCCACATAGTTCCTGGCGTGGGAAGCTTCCTCAAGTTTTAAAGCTGTGTCTGTATATTTGTATATGTATAATATATACGAGTTACTAGTCGAGTGCGAGTGCCAACAATGTAGTATATATATATATAATATGTATAAACTCCTGCTCCGAACTGACCTATGAGGTGCTTCTACGCTGCGCAGCCTGGTCAGCTCTACACCTGGGGTCGGGGAAGCGATGGTCAGCTTGGACAAGACAAGATGCGATTTCCTTCTGTGAACTGCGCCCTCCCGTACCCCATCCCGCGCCTGAACCAGGCTGTTTCTGCTTCTGGTTTTCCCGGGTCCGGCGATTAGCGGAGGTCTGTGGTCTGCACTGGAGGGTGCACAGGTCTCCTGCTCACAAAGACTCGTCCGTGTAAGTCAGCGGTCCTGTCTTCATAGGCCAAGCAGATTTGAAGCATAGCCAATCCCCGATGACTGCTCGATGCCAAGTCCAACATGCAGAGCACTGTGTGGCAGGTTGTTCACGTTTCCTGCGGTGGCGGCCAACAAGGCGAGCGACTGCCTGCGTAAGCCCGAACATGCATCACGAGGGCCACGAGGGAGGGAGGCGCCCGGCCCGGCATGCTGCAACTGTTCAGGCTGCACTGGCGCGGTCACAGCAGATGGAGCTCTCTACACTTTCGGCAACAACTTCAAAGGCTCCCTGCAATTCAATGGAATGGCTCAGGCGAGGCCTTAGACTGGATTTCGTGCCTGCCTTCCCTCTCGGAGGTCGGTTGGGCCATGGGGACGGGCCGAATGTCACTGAGCCAAGAAGCCTCTAGGCAGGCAAGGTTGATTATCACTTCCTTGTCATGAAAGACCCTCACCCCAACCCGTGCAAAGGAAAAGGTCTTTGCTTGTGGGCCCCGGCATGGGCAAATTCTCGTTCCATGCTACATCATTCCTTGTGTCTGGTGCGATGTGCCATCCCCGGCTTCTTCCGTACATTGACGCAGAATCGCCATTTGACCAGTCCATGTGTTGCAGCATGATGCGGATCGCCAGGTTGAAAAAAGCAAGAACGGGCACAGGCTCAATATGAAAGCTTGACTATATGGCTGCTTCTCCATATCTTCACTTATCATTTGTTCCCGGCTGAGAGCAGGTGGATAGACTCATCTAGAGCAGTGGCATACTTGTACGAAGAGGACGAACAGATACTGTGCATCGTTTTGTCTGTTGAAGTTCGCACGACAACACACATGCATACAGCATAGGCATAGCCACCAGGCATATGCATGCATGCATTCATTCGTAGCTACAAAGAGTATTAACACAACTGCCGGCACACATGCCGACATGCGGACATACGTGCATGCATGTAAGCTTATTAACACACACACACACACACATGCATACACGATACCTACATCCCTACATACATACATGCCAGCATACATACGTACGTGCACGTGTGTGTAGTAAACATTTATTCCAAGAGGGGGCACTCGAAGAAAGGGGGGTACTCAACCACCCTAGTCACCCTCGATCTAGACATGTGCAACGGTACATTTGGCTCACCAAAGAATGAAGTGTCCGTGTTGTCGGGCTGTCCTGGAAATGTTCCGTGATCACCACTTCAACGGGACAATGCGCTGATAGCACCGGATCGTGTCCAACTATACTCTGGATCAGTTCTTGTAGTTGAGCTGAGGAGTAGAAGCCCTGGCATCGGAGCGCGTGCTCATGGCGGCCCCTCGGCTGCAAATCTTCTGCGGGCAGTCGCTCGTGCGTAGGGGTGTTTTCCGTGGCCAGCGTTCAGGCTCCAGTATTGAGGGCACCCCTCTCGGCAGTTGCATGTAAAGCCCGCCCGCCGGACTTGGACTTGCAGATTGCTGCTGTGAAGGGCAATCTTTTCCCTCGAATCGTAAACGGCCCACCCCACCCCCAAGAACAACTCGGTAAGTATGTTTTTTTTTATTAGGGTGTATTTTTTATATCTACTGCCACTTTTGAGGGGTCGTGCTCTTGCTCTTGCTCCTGCTCTGGCTCTTGCTCCCGCACTGGCTTTTGCTCCTGCTTCTGCTGCGTCTCTTGCACCTGCTCCTGCTCTTGCTGTTGCTCCCGCTCTTGCTTTTGCTTTGCTCTTGCTGACGCTCCGCTCTTGCTCCTGCTCTTGCTCTAACTCCTGCTCTGGCTCTTACTGTTCTCTCAGGGTCTTTTGGAGCCGTGAAACCCTCCCCCGTAATCGAGAAAAGGGTTTAAAGGGCAGGGATGATTTCGGGAAGATTCGCCCCAATGTGTTGTAGGGGGGGGGGTGTTCAGTAAACGGGGAAGCGATTAGGCATTCCCGGCTCTTATCGGCCGAAACCATTTCTAGTCGGTCCTGACAAAAGACAGTGCGAGTAGGTTTCGTTCTTCTGCCATGTGACAGACAAGCAGCCCACCATGTGCGTTTGGCTGTTGTTCCGAGGCACTCTGCAGACTCTGGATTGAACTTCCGGGCAAAGGCTCCAGCACAGGCCCTGAAGCCTAAACTGCACTTCGAACCAGAGGCTTTCGGAAGCGACCATGGCTCTGCTCTGGTGGGAGCCTTCTCTGAGTTTGTTCTTTGCTGGTGGTTTGGCAGCCGTTCGCAACCTTTGATCGGTGAAAGTCTCACCCTCTGTGCTTTCCGAGAATCTTTCCAGCCACCTCAACCCAGAGGCGAAACGTACGGTCACCAGGGTTTCTCGGTAGGTACTGGTGTAGCTCTTTCTGGGATACCAAAGCCAATGTTGTAAGATTTCTAAGTTGTGGTGTATATCGAGACTTGGGCTAGCTCCACCCGGCCCGACCCCGAGGCAGCGCCGCTAGTAGCTGAGGCAGTGGCAGAGTCTTTCTTTGGGGCTGCAATCGGTACGGACAGCTGCTTGGAGTGCGAGGGGTTCTGATTCGGACAGTCACCCTTCACAGACACAGGGTGCAAAGCGCACGGTGACAGCTTAGACCGATGCAGAACAAATAGTGGAAGAGCACCTAGAAGCTCAGCAGTCCAAGCCCTGCACACCCAACAACCGCTCCAGGAGCATGGCTGAGGCCCCATCAGTCCGAAATGAGCTGCTGCATGGGCTCGGGAACTCCAGTAGGCTCAGCTTTGGCGCGGGCGCGATCTTCGGGGGCTGAAACATGCACGCGTACCCAAAATAATTCGGCGATCCGGACAGGCGTTGCGAGGCCACTACTTAGAGGCCCTGAGGGAATTCAAAGCCTGCTGATGGGCGCGGGGACTGTGGTAAGAGCACGATCTCCACTCCAAAACACTCAAAATTGAAGGGCAGAGGTGCGGGAACGCGATTCATCAAGTTCGCAAGAATCAAAATTGTCATTGCATCCGAGAGTCGCTATTTTTGGTGTAGCCCCTCTCGCCCTTGATTCTTCGCTGCCCCTCTTCACCCTCTTGCCCTATAGCTCCAGCTGCCCCATCTTTGCACGGTCAACAGCCCCAACCCCTTGCTTCCCACCGACGGGTCGTAGAACCCATAAGGCCAAGAATCAGAAATCTATCAGCGCATTGGAAGTCGAAGTCTGAAGTTGGATTTGGATCTGGTTTCAGCTGCATGATAGACTTGCTAGGCCATAAACGTTTAGGGTTTGCATGTCGGAATCAGGGTTGCGAACGGTTTTAGAATTTGGATCAGAGAGAGGATGCACAGTCGGGTGCGCTCGCCAGATACTGAACATGAGCCAATGATTAGCCTGTTGCGTGCAGGGACCATGGCGGAAAAACCCCAAACCCTCAGGCGCAGGCCCAGAAGCCAAAGCCTGGCTCCCTCAACGAAAGCCTAAAACACTAAACACTCGTGGCCGGGACCTATGAAGCCATGCCTGCCAGCGTGCGAGTTTGTTCGTCTGAGTCGTCGATTTGAAAAACTGTGTGGAGCCTTGCCTGCTTTGCGCGAGAGTGAGACTCGAATTCCTGGCATGGTCTTGCATTGATTTAACTCGAAATCCCGACTCAGCAACTGAGAAGTGCAAGGCTGGGCCGAGGGCACGCGGACAAGGCGGCAAGGGCAGAGAGGAGATCCAAGTTGCATGTGTCTGTCTGTCTTTGGGTATGTTTGTGTGTGTGTATATGTGTAAACTGGTTTTTGCTGAGTTCTAGCCTGGTCGCATCAACACTTGTCATGCGATGTGATTCGCTGAGTTCGCCTCGCAAGTGCGTGAGCTATGCCAGAGGGTCGCTGTAGTCTCGCTTGCTCAGAAGATTGCGTTGCGAGCATATGGAAGGAACCCTGGTTGCCAGGCAGATGTCCCGTTCAAATCAGGTTTTTAATAACTCGCACCACCTCTCTGTTGAGAAGACTCGCACGCAGTTTGTCGAGGCCGACGCCAAACCGCAGGAAGTCGTGCTGCCAGCTGCTGCGGTGCAGATTGATTGCGAGGACCAGCAACTCGTCTCGGCACCTTATTGTAGCCCTTTGGGGCTAAAGCTGGAGCCTTGCAAAATCCACGAGTCCCTTAGCCACTGGAATGCCGCAAGAATCAAATCAGCAAGTCAGCAGGCAGTGCGCCTGTGACTTGTTGGCAATCTCAATCCGCGGTAGGTTCCACAGCGCCCCAAGCCATTTGTTGTCTTCTGACAGGTATTCGGCCGCTCTACTCGAGGACGGAAGGCTCTTCACCTGGGGCAGCAACGGCCACGGCAGGTGGCCAGTGCCTGCGGGATGAAGCTGATATACACGCCCGGACAACCCGAGAATCCATCTCAGGGTTCTTTGTCTTCCTGGGATGGAGCCGTCATGATATGGATGTCTGTTTGATAGGGCCAGGTCGGTTCGACAAGCCTTTGCTCCAAGCTCCGAAAATCTCAGAAAGCATGTCGATTTGGAGGCTTGGACATGGAACGACGGCTGTGTCGGGGCCTGACAGGGACGCGCCACCTGAAAAGGGCCCGTAGCGAGGAGCGGTGCCCATGGTAGCCCCATGTAGGATGATCCGCTCCAGGTCTCCATGTTTTTCTGTTGGACAGGACCACAACTAGAACTGTCTTCATCTTGACTCGGGGGGCCTTGACCAGAGTTTGCTTCTTGTCATGTCCGACAGCAGCGCAACCTTTGATCTTCAACCGGATAGTTGCGTGTGCATGCGCAGATCCTCACATGTGCACATTGGCGGCCTTTGAGTGGTGTCAGGAAGAGACAGAGATCGAGCGAGAGACAGAGAGAGAGAGAGTCAAAGAGAGAGACAGCAGGAGAGAGAACGAGATTGCTTTGAAAGCTGGTTGAGAAGCAAACGGTGGTTTGCACAGAAGATTGAAGGGGCAGAGGAGAGAGCGAGAGAGACAGTCCAGTTTCGTCAGACCTCAGAGAGGCCGAACACCCAGAAGCCTTTGGAGCCCCATCTCCATGGTGCTTGCACAGCATGCGCGCTTTTCCTGCGCTTCATACCCCGAAGGTCGGCACACACTCCTACCGCAGTGGCAGCCGAGGGCGTGAGCTTGGTTCTTGCAACTCGCCGCTTAGTGGATCGCTGATGCTGGCAGGTATCAGAGCTGAGATCAAGCTGAGATCAAGTTTCGTTGGCGCACGTCCTACATGCTAGATGACTGCGACGATCGAGGTGAGCCTCGGCTCTCTCTATGCGGGGGCTGTGGGCAGCAACGGCGAGCTGCTGATGTGGGGCTACTCGGCAGCCAAAGCTCCCAGATGAGCTTCAGATCAATGTGACAAAACTACATTCTGACTGCAGTAGTTCCACTGCTCGGGTGGCTGCATCCAGAAGAGACAGGCAATTTGTCACACCCCACACATCGTAGACCACTTGCGTTTTCTATTCGCTTTGTGGCACCACCCTTGTCTTTAGTGGCGCTTCTGCACCTACCTAGACAACCCGCCCCCGCATAATTTCAGGCATCGTTGGATTAGACCTAAAAAACGCCATTGTTTACCAAAAACGCAATCTTGAGAAAAAAATGCAATCGACGATTTCTCCTTCTGCCTGCAACGACTCTGCTGAAGCACTTCAGCATGGAGCAGCTCACGGCTTAGACAATGTAGCATCGACTTAAACAGGCTTTATGGCTTAAGGGTTTAAAGCGGTATGTAGATTTAATCAGCATATTATTTACGTCTTCAGGAGCCGCTCAAACAAAAAACGAGCTTTGACTAAGTAACGTTGCAAACACCGGAATGCGGCTGTGCTTGGATGCACTCTGCGACTTAATCTGCTGACCCGGCCAATGAAATCCTCATTGGACTCACAAAGCCAAATCCCGGTATTCAGTGCATAG